ATGTATAATGTATAATATATGTATGTATAATGTATAATATATGTTATACATATGTATGTATAACATATATACATATATATATGTTTTCTGGCAACACTGAGATGAACCTTTATGTTCCTTTGGCTCAGCAGTCATTTTCGTCTTGGAACTCTGCCATGCAGGCCATTTTTACCCAGTCTTTTTCTTATGGTGGAGTCATGAACACTGACCTTAGCTCAGGCAAGTGAGGCCTGCAGTTCTTTGGATGTTGTTTTGGGGTCTTTTGTGACCTCCTGGATGAGTCATCACTGTATTTTGTAAAGAGTAAAGTTAAGCTGAAACCAGCTTTCCTAGGATGTGATACATCACGTTAATTAATGGTAATACAGGTAGGGGGAGCGATCAATTTTTCACACAGGGCCATGTAGGTTTGGACTGTATTTCCCCTTCATAATAAACACCTTAATTTAGAAACAGCATTTTTTTTTACTTGTGTTATTTTTGACAAATTTGTTTGATGGTCTTGCCATATGGTAGCTGGGATTAGCTCCAGCCCCGCTGTGAGCCTGATAAGGATAAGCAGAAGGGGATAGATGGATCTGAAACATTTAAGTGTGATAACCATACAAAATAGAAAATCTTTTGCATGCCATCATATACATATATATATATATATATATAAGATAGATGTGTGTGTGTGTGTGTGTGTGTGTGTGTGTGTGTGTGTGTGTGTGTGTGTGTGTGTGTAGAAAATTTTGAAATTTAAAATGTGAACATTCCAAATGTAAGCACCGTTTACATCTACTGCAAAGATTTGCAGTAAAATTTTATTATACAAAATACATACCTTGTGATGGACAACCATAGAGTAAGCCAGAGGAAAGTCCTCTTCTTCCTTGCTTAACGGGAATGTTATGTATTTCCTACTTTTTTGGAATTTCCTGTAAATTCACAGTTTTGAAGAAGTAACGTTGTTTTTAAAAGTCCATATATTAAAATCATGGCCAAGAGTTAAAGAGTTACTGAAAGCTGCCATTTAGAGCAACAAACCTGCAGTCTTGGGTTGCATTGATGTAATACTCATCAGGGATCTGAATAACCTTCTGGAAGTTGTTGGTGATGGTCAGTAATTTGGCTTCCAGCAATGCCTCCTTCTCTCCCTGCAGGATTGCTGAGCAGTTGCAAACTTTCTCTGGGCTCTCATCTTCATCAGTATAAACTAGCCATCGATACTTGAGGATGTAGGCAGGACTTTCGCCTGTTTTTAGCTGACTAAGTAGGAAAAGTATCCATAGTGATCCCAGTACAGCACTGAATTTGAATAATTGTAGCCAGCAGCCTCGTTTTAAATATCGCATTATTTACAGTAAGTAGAAAATCTCAAATACAATAATAGTAAAGCTTGTGATAGCTGCTAAAAATGTCTGTCAGACACCTGTGAAACAACAAAATAATAATGATTAATGTTTGTTCCTTTCATGAAGGTATGCAAATCAGTCCATCCATTACTGCACCTGGAACCAAGCGATAATGTGAGTAAGGAAAACATACACAGACACACTTTTTTTTTCATGTGAAACGATACTTCTTTTTGGAACTTTAGAACAAAATATTCAGATGTTGGACTGAAATGCAAAGCAACACTACATGTTTGGAAATCTCTGTCGTTTAACATCGTAAATCTGAGTGGATTCACTTGAATCCACGTTTTTTTTGTCTTCCATGTTACAGTGGGGCAAAAAAGTATTTAGTCAGCCACCGATTGTGCAAGTTCCCCCAC